AATGCTAAAGAGAATGGCTCATGCGCTACTGCATCATGATTTAATGTTTCAATGTCTTTGAGTTATTCTGTAAGGATTAGCTGACAGTGTTTAAATCTGATTCCATCATTCGATGGAGTAACAGAGATGTGTTCCAGATCCTTAAAATTTTTGGTGATTATTTATTGGTTATCTTTGTTGCAATCTGGCCACTATGTCACTGAATTCTTATGTGGAATGTTCTTAACTGTGCTATCAATACCAAATCTATTGTCAAATAAATATGACATAAACTGCATTTTTGAAGAACTGATGCACATGAGAACTTTGTATGATCCTTACAATTTCCAAAGGAGGGGTGTACTTTAGATCAGATATTGTCATTTCTGTTGAGTTTTCTTTTGACGTCTTGAATCCAAATTCCTGTATTTCTGCCCACCATATGAATGTGCTTATTACGTTCTGCCCTGTTGTATTCTTAAGATAAGGCATTTAACAAACAGTGACTTCCCGTTTGTGCTTGATTTTTGCCAACCGTACCGGTGTGCTTATATTTTCAAACATTTGACACTAAAGTATCCTTTGCTAGTTTCTGATTATGACCAAGGCTCCTCAACTTGTGCATTTTTTGATTGTGCTTTCTTCTTTTGTTTGCAAACAATATAATAGATTTGCATCTCTTTCTAAGTACTTCTTGTTTATCTGTGCTTATTAGTTTACTCTTTTTAATTGCAGGTGATTGAACAAAGATGGTGGACGGTGGGACGAGGAAGCTAACGTCTTGTACTGAAGGACAAGCACCGCTACACCGAGGGAGAGTAGGAGGAGGAGGAGCCGCAGGAGGGAGCCATCGCCTGCCGCCCCGTCGCGTGAGGAGGAGGAGGAGGAGCAGGTGCCCCAGGAGGAAGCCGAGGAGGCGCAGGAGGACGCGTAGGAGGACGAGGAGGAGGAGGCGACAGCAGGGGGTTCCGCTTCCTCTAGTTCGTCGAGCGTCTACTTGCGAGGTCCCACGAGCCTCCTCCCTCAGCGACCGATACCTCGTGAGAGACGCCCGCTGATTCGACCCGAGGGGGAAAAGTAAGTAACTTTAGATGTTATCACTACTTTATATGATATGTTAAAAATCAAAATAGAAACTAATATTTTTTTCTTAATCACTTGGGCAGGAACTGGACGATTGTGGCGAGTGGAGGTGCTCACACACGCCAAGTCAATGGCATCCTCGATCTTCTGTGCAAGGAGCACTTCCCTGGCCTAGTTGAGTACGCCGGAGTGACGGGGCCGGCCTACTCGTTTGACCACTACGCCGCTGCCCCCGATGCTGCAGATCGGGCCCGCAGGGTATTCAACAACAAGGCAGAGCGGGTGAAGCAAGAGCTGTGGGTAAGTCCTCCTCGCACTACATTGCTCAATACATCGTATTCATTAGACATTCTTGAAATAATGAATGGATACATCATGTTTGTATGCAGGATTTCTTTAGATGTCAGGACGGACATGAGGCCAGGGTGGATGCGGTAGCTACCAAATGCTGCAAAAAACTCGTCGTGGACATGCATTACGAGGCGCGCATCTAGGCCGTCGTAACTTACCACGGGACCGTCCTTGGAACGAAGGTCACCAAAAGGGACGCAAGGAGCATAACGCTGACCCGGAACCAGTACCTGCAGGTAAATACAGAACATTAATACTGATTCCTTTTGAGATTAAGTAGGCTTAATTTCATCTTCTGATATGTCATGTACTTGATGGCCTGTAGATGATTCCTTATTGGTGCGCCGCGCATCCCCAGTGCTGGGAACAGATGGTGGACAAGTGGTGCTCACGCGAGTGGGAGGAGACACACAACTTGTGCCGGGAGCGGCGTTTGATGATGCCAGGTGTAGCACACCATCAAGGCAGCCGTAGCCTTAGCGGATACACAGAAACATGGGTACGCAAATTCATTTATTTATTCTAATGCTTAATTCTGCATGATTTCTAATCATCTTGCTGTTTTTCTTGCAGCCGGTGTCACATGGTGGCCAGCCTTGCTCCATCTTCAAGGCATTTGCTATGGACCACAAGGGCAAGGCGACGTCCGACGTCGACTACAACCCGGAGGACGGGCCCGAGGCGTACAGCAATGCGACCGTCCATAACCGCCTCAGTGAGTACACATCGATGGCAAGGGAGGTTCATGGGCCACAGTACGATCCGAGCACCAAGGACCTTGATGGAGAAGTCGTCATGAGGGTGGGAGGAGTCAAGAAGCATGGGCGGTACTGGATTGGCGACGGCGCAATCGACTCGGCCGCTACTCCCAATCTCTCCCAGATTCGAGCAAGCAGCACGAGCAGGAGCCCGGCCATACGACCTCGGTAGGACACTTTCACACCACTGGGTGGAGGCACTCGAGGTTATTCCTGGTTTATTCGTCGTTCATTGGTTTTTTCATACCTTTCCTTTGTATTATTGTAACATTGGGGTGAATGTATTGTAGGCCCAGCTGGAACAAGAGAGGAGGATATGGGAGCAGATGCAGGCGAAGATAGAGAGGGTGGAGGCCGAGCGGGAGGCCAAGCGGGAGGCTGAGCAGCGAAGGATGGCGGAGATTCTTCGCTACATGCAAAGTCTTGGCGCCGCTACGGGTGTAGTTCCGTCACCTTCACTATTCGCTCCACCTCCACCTCCACCTCCTCACTATTCTACTCCTGTGAGTATAAATATTTTAGTTTGTATGTTCATGCTTACGGTCAAACCTAGTGGAGTATGAAAGTTTTATTTATGTATGGTATATATTTATCTTGTCTCACACATGCAATCTCTTCTCCTTTGTGCAGAATCAATCGGCGGCATCGAACGATCCTCATTCTTCAGCGAATCCTTCACCAAATCAGTGATGATACTTGTGGTTGTTAATGGTACTTCTATTTGCAATTGTGGTTGAAGATGATGGAGCACTTGGATTACTTGTGAACTTATTTGTGATATATTGTGAGACATATGACGTTTGTGATATATATATATATGGTGTTGGTGATATATATGTGCTGTTGATGATATATATGTGATGTTGATGATGCTTGTTATATATATATTCTGTTTGTTTGGATGGGATGTAAAAACAAATAAAAAGGCTCTTTTCAGTCACTTTGCCGAGTGTAATGGCCATGACACTCGGCAAAGTGACTACCTGGGAACTACCTGAGAACATGCTTTGTCGAGTGCAAAGGCCATTGCACTCGGCAAACATCATAGATTTGCCGAGTGTCTTGCCGGCGGCACTCGGCACAGTGGCCACCTTCGCCGAGTGTCTAAGTCAACGGCGCTCGACAAAGCGGGGGACCTTTGCCGAGTGCTTGACCTTGACACTCGGCAAAGCCGCCGTCACGGTGGGGCTCACCGTCACGGCCACTTTTCTTTGCTGAGTGTCGGATTGGTACTCGGCAAAGTCTTTGCCGAGTGCCCGATAAAGTGCACTCGGCAAAGAGGTCTTTGCTGATAAACTGTTTACCGAGCGCCCTTTGTCGAGTGTATATCGGCCTTTGCCGAGTGCCTGAGGCCTGAGGCACTCGGCAAAGAAGCCGCCTCCAATAATGACTTATTCAGCTGTGTCACCCCGATCCCTAAATACTCTATTATAAATATAGGCCTTGTTGGAGTTGGTTCGAGTTCGACTGGGGCCTTGTATTTTGTGTCGGTTTGCGTCATGATTCGATTATGTACTATGTAAATAAAGAGAGAGTCTATTTTTACCCCCTTAACTATCATATAAAAGTTAGTTTTTCCTCTCTTCAACTCTAAAACTGAAAATAGCTCCTTTCTCATCTCTCAAAACCGGATAGTTGAACTCCATGGCCGTTTTCTTGATGCTTTTTCTTTTATGTTTATTCCGGCTGAATATTTGAAAAATCGTAGTATTGGGCCAGATTGAATGCCGCATTATGATTCACAGAGAGTAAATTACATGGTCGCTGATCTCTAAACTGTTATCCTGTTAGGACTGGTCATGTAACTTATATTTCATTCAGAAATGAGAAAAACTCCATTCCACTTTGCTCAGCCGGCTGATTTCGTCCAATTTTCCTCCTTAAAGTGAAGTATGAGACAGGATATCGTACACCCTAATTGTTTAATACTGGACAAACTATACGGTAGCTAGCTTCGAAGGCGGCTTTAATATACCTACGTCAGCCCAAGAGAGATAAATTAAACTACGTTTATAATTCCTGATCAAATAGATTTTACCAAAAGAATTATAAAACATTTTTTTTAAAATACAATGTTTACAGAAGATTGCAATTAAATATCTTAACACGATGTACAAAATTCGAAACTAGTTTCGTATTTTTAGCTAAAAATAAAACGTATATCGATTCTCTAAGATTGAAAAATATTTTAAGATTTTTAACTGCATTACTTTTGTAGGGAAAATATTTAGACATTTTTAAAAAATATTTGTGTAATTGTTTTAATAAAGTATATTTGACCTGTAAACTATCAACTAGTCCAATTTGGAGTTAACATAGCATCACATAGGATGATTGATGTAGCCCCTTATGTAGTCTAAAACGATGGTAAAAAATCAGTTAGGGTTATGATCTATCCGGTATTTAGATAGTTTATTTAAGGCATATGATGTCTGATTTCGTACTTCAAAGATGAAAATTGGATGACGACGATAGTTGGGGAGGTCAAAATAGAGACTGTTCCCTTCAGAAACTGACAGCACAAGCTGTGATTGCTTCAGTGTGTAAGGCACACAGCAAGCATCACTGGGTTTCACCGGTTGTTATCATTGTTAGACAAATAAAACCACTTGTCGGCTGTTGCTTTAGGGACATGCGTGTTCATCATGTGCCGACACATATAGGGGTGGACTGGGGATGTCACCAATCCCCTCCTGCATGCTGCTCACAAAGTGATTTTGCTTCTTCTCAGTTGCCTGCGTTCCAGATTGCCATTTCTACACAAATGGCTCATATCATCATGTCAATTCTATTGTCATCAGAGTTCTCCATCAGCCTAGCCGTGGGAGTTTACCCAAATGTCCACATTTTCCCTTTACCATTGGACTTGAGATGTGCTCGTTTTATGTGTTGATCAATGGAGTCTCGAATTCCTTCGAGAACAGAGACCACCTTGCCCATGGACGACCTCATCTTAGCATCCAAGACCAGGCATTCAAGAGCAAGGGCAGCGACTTTCTTCACCCCGCCTGTGGAGTATTCACCTCCTAGTCTGGTATCCACCAAACGGCATATCTTGCGCCTGTTTATGAGATGTGGCCGTGCCCATTCGACAAGATTCTGCTCCCCCTTCGGCCGGTTTATATCAAAGGCACAACGACCCGTCAGCAACTCCAGAAGCACTACCCCAAAACCGTAGATGTCGCTCTGCACAGTAAGTTCCCCTGAAAGTTTTCAATTGTTATTACATTACAGGGATACTGCTTCAAAATACAAGCACTGAATATATTATTATTGGGAAAAGGCAGCACTACAACATTTTGTGGCAGCCAAGTTAATGCCATAATGGGGAATACACAAAATATTACTCCATGTTTTGGATCCAAGACAAGCAAGTAGTGCTCAATTTCGGTGGGTTCGAATTATTTTCATGTAATTGTCTAAACCAAATATTTGTTACTGATTGTTGCGACACTAGTCCCATGCCGTGAGGATCAAGTTGATCTTGGTAAGCCTAGACTTTTGTGCGTTATATTAATTATTTTGTTCCTCTTAATGAAAAACATATATATACTTAGGCGCGGTCTAAAAAAAATACAAGCAAATGTGTATAACATTGGCGGGGGCATCAAAATTTGCATTTAAACGCTTACCTGTTGACAGATCATCCGGAGCTGCATAAGCATACGTTAGGGTTGCTGCTGTGGACACATAATCTCTCGCACCAATAGGACCATTTGATCCGAAACAAGATAGCTTCGCATCATACGCCTGGCCAATAATATGATGCATCCCTTTCAGTAGACATCACTTACACCACCATGTATATAAAAATGAATTGCGGAGAATTGATGGCTCACTGTGGCTTACAGTGTCAAGGAGAATATTGCTAGTCATCATGTCTCTATAAACAATTTTCGCAGAATGAAGGAAAGCTAGTCCTTTTGCAGCTCCAAGTGCAACCTTCAACCTTAGGTTCCATGAAAGAGGACTAGAACTAGATCCTATAATAATAAGGAAAAAAGGGATTCAGATAGCTGGCTGATAGTGTCTTTGGTTTTTCAGGCCACTGCAAAACTATAGTAGTTAACTCATGGCATTCAATGCCATTCATGCCGCATCTGATTCTGATTTTCACTATGGACTGAAATTATTTTTCAGTTATCATTGTAAGAGATGTTTTACATCCTAATGAGCATACTTCATCATCATCTATACTACTTCGAATGTTTACATTACTTCCTAAAACATGATAAATTGATAACAGTTTCCTTCCAAGAAAGTGCCTCTGTGTGCCTTATTCGGCTTCCATTCAATAACGATCATGTATCTTTATATTTGTCTTGGACGCCCACATATGCAGGCATCTCCTACTAGTGTAGTACTGTAGTTTATAAAGAACATACTATGGCAAGGGTAGTAGTTTATATTTGTCTTGTATTACTTACTCCGAGAAAGATGATTTTCCAAGCTCCCACGTTGCATATACTCGCACACTAGTAGCGACTCGTCGTCAACCGTGCAGTAGCCAATGAGCTTAACAAGGTTGGGATGTGTAGACATACCTAGGTAATGAACTTTTGCCTATAAATAGAAACTTAAAAAATAAGAGAAAATACAAATATCTAAATTGCAAAATTAGAAACCTTTAGTAAATTCAAAGGCATCACAAAACGATGGATTTCCAATAGTAACTTCAAACAAAATGACTTAGGATATAACAAGCTATAGACCGTATGAGTGCCTTACTCACTTGCAAACCCAGTTCATGTCTTTTCACAGCAATAGCCATTCCAAGGCCAGACAGGCAAGGTGACAGTGTTTCTTCATCAATCCAACCTTTAGAGATACCCCAGTACTCTTCTTCGTCACCGAGCACGCTGTCAGGTCGAAATGTTTTTGTGGCTAAACGGAGATCTGCAAAATTGAAGATCTTAACATTCGGAGGCACTGAAGCTGAAGAGGTTCGACTGCCGTAACTATTCCCATCTTTACCACCAGGGTTTGAAAATATCCCTGCATGTAATATATATTTAGTACTCGAGTTTCCACTCTGCCAAACAGGGGTATACCAAAATCAAGACACGGTATAATATTTTGTCCCTAATACCGTAATACGTTAAAATCTAGGGTGTCATGACAATCATCCAATGGCACGTCTAAGATTTTTGTAATTATGTTAGGCACAAAACAATTGATGTGCTCTTATCCTTAGCATGTTCATTGCCACGAAATGACCTTTAAATACGAGAGAATTCCTTGTGAGCCATTAAAAAATATCGCAATTCCCTGTAAGCCACTGAAAAAGTTCAGCGGCCACGGCTCCAACTTTTTTTTGCCCTCCACCGCCGTCAGATTGGGCTCTAACGGTGTCAAACTGTAGGTGTGAAAAGTCAAAAATACCCTTAGGTTTAAATATGTCATTAATTTTTTTAGTATCTTAACGACTTCAAATGAAAAAACTCAAAACTAGAAAGTTATAGATCTCGTCGAGATCTATAATTTTCATATAAAAATTATCTTCATTTAATACCGCAAAAAAGATATGATTTTTCTAAGATATATTAATCATATCAAATCATATCTTTTTTGCGGAATTAAATGGAGATATTTTTATATGAAAATTATATATCTCGATGAGATCTACAACTTTCTAGTTTTGAGTTTTTTTTCATTTGAAGTCGTTAAGATGCTCAAAAAAATTAATGGCATATTTAAACCTAAGGGTATTTTTGACTTTTCACACCTACAGTTTGACACCGTTAGAGCCCAATCTAACGGCAGTTGCATGGAGGGCAAAAAAAAAATTAGAGCAATGATGCTGAAGTCCACCGAACTTTTTTAGTGGCTCACAAGGAATTGTAATCTTTTATAATGGCACACAAAGAATTCGCTCTTTAAATATCCATGTGCTCAGATGGATTCCCTGCTGATGAACCTCAGGCGCAGATGGTCCCTTTAGCTTTCCAAATTTGCAATGCAAATTAGTTACCTATGTAAAGCGAAAAACAGGCCAGCTATTTCTTGAGCACAACACTCTCAGAAGCCACTGTTACTATACCACAGCACGAACTCACATGGGGCTTGTTAAAAATACCAAATAGCATTAGAAGGTCGGACGTTAAAGAGTTCTAATGAACGGTCGGTTGTTATCTCATTTTTTCAATTTTCAATAATTTGTCGGCCGGTATTTTTATTTTGCTTCACCATTGTAAAGCGAAAAACAGGCCAGCTATTTCTATAGAGTAGTGGAAAAGGAATTTGATGTTTCTTTCAGTAATACTTATGATTTCAACAATACTCTGAACAAATCCGGTAATAGCTTAAGATGGCTTCAAATTAGAAGTAGAAGTAATATCAGCAGCAAAGATTAAGGCATCAAACAAAGTAGCTAAGCAGCAAAAAGAAAAAAAAAACAGAGAGATAAAACTGACCTTTCGACAATGTACCTTACTGAGGCAACATCATGTTTTTACTCTTGTTGTATCACTGTAGGGTTACTTTTTCAAAACAAAGGAGTAGGTTGCTGTTTGTTTGAACATTCCAAGAAATACAGTATTTGCTGATTTGAGCACCAAGGATGCTTTTGACGCTTGTGTGGTTATACCTTTGTTGTATAGGTAGAAGGTAGTTTTTCCATTATAAACAGGTTTCCATGTTGACAGCATGGAAACATTGTACTGCATGCATTCAACTATTTTATAATAAAAATGGACCTAACTGTGGTACCTATCTGTTGATTTTAAAAGTAGCTTTATCTTCCCTTTGTTTCCGAAAATTATCTAGTTCTTCAATTGTATTTTTACCCTTGCATATCCTCTACTGCAACATTGGGAATCATCAATCTCTTGGTCAGCGGCCTGTGATATTCTTCATGGAGGAACACGTCTATTTTACCTGCATTTTCCTCCTTTGTTTCTTCCATATTTACATGGCACCTTGCAGGTTCTTGCTCTTTGTAATCATCCATGCTTGTTGGGAAAAGAGGAACCAAACGATTGTTCAGGTGAATATCTTCATCGATCTATTCATTTATCAATCATTTTATAAAAGTCTTAAAATGGAGAGATCTAGTTCAAACACTTGACTAAGTGCTATGCTGTTATGTTCACCTCATCTCGTGTAAGTCTATCTCTGGCCCCAAGTGAAAGCTCTAGTTTGGTTTTAGTGAATTGATGAAACCCTAAGTGCTAACCTAGTTTATCAAGTGATCATGAGATAGGTAGCACATTCCAAGTGGTGAAGCAAATGAAGATCATGACATGATGATGGCGATGCCATGGTGATGATCAAGTGCTTGGACTTAAAAAGAAGAAAGAGAAAAACAAAAGGCTCAAGACAAAGGTATAAGTGGTAGAAGCTATTTTGTTTTGGTGATCGAAACACTTAGTGAGTGTGATCACATTTAGGTTCGATAGCCGTACTATTAAGAGGGGTGAAACTCATATCGAAATACGGTTATCAAAGTGCCACTAGATGCTCTAACTCATTGCATATGCATTTAGGATCTAGTGGAGTGCTAACACCCTTGAAAATGTTTGTGAAAATATGCTAACATATGTGCACAAGGTGATACACTTAGTGGTTGGCACATTTGTGGAAGGGTGAAGAAGATAGAGGTGAAAAGGAGTTAGTCGCGCTGGTCACGGAGGGACCGGACGCGTCCGGTATGGTGACCGGACACGTCCGGTATTAACGACGAACTCAGCGATCGGACGCTTCCGGTCGCCACACCGGACGGAATCAGCAAAGTCGTTGTTCGGTGAAACAGTTGACCGGACGCTGGCAGCGTCCGGTCTGGAGTGACCGGACGTGTCCGGTCGACCGTGGGTGCTTACTGAACTCGACTGGACGCTGAGGCTCAGCGTTCGCTCAGTTTCTAACAAACGCGTCCGGTCGGCCCTGGGTACTCTCTGGACTTGGTCGAATACTGTGGCTCAGCGTCCGGTCATCTCTATTTCAGCGTCCGGTCGCATGTAAGTGTGGGCAGCAACGGCTACTATGATTTGAACTGGACACCTAGTGGTCTAGGAGCGACCGGACGTGTCCGGTCGATCTACCGAATGCGTACGGTGCAGCATCCGGTGCACTCGAGCAGCGTGTCCGGTCGATGCGCAGTCAACCCAATAATTGAGCCAACGGCTCTATTTCGTGGGGGCTTCTATTTAAGCCCCATGGCCAGCTCTAGCTCACTCTCTTTGCCATTTGCATTGACATAGCAGCCTTGTGAGCTTAGTCAAAGCCTTCCCACTCATCAACATCATTGATTCATTATCTTTGTGAGATTGTGAGTGAATCCAAGTGCATTGCTTGAGTATTTGCATCTAGAGGCACTTGGTGTTCGTGTTTCGCTGCGGGATTCGCTTGTTACTCTTGGTGGTTGCCACCACCTAGACGGCTTGGAGCAGCGAGGATCGTCGAGCGGAGGTTGGTGATTGTCTCCGGCTCCGATCGTGGTGAGTGTGAGGGGTTCTTGACCTTTCCCCGGTGGAGAGCCAAAAGATACTCTAGTGAATTGCTCGTGGCTTGTGTGATCCTTATCTTGTGTTGGTTGTGCAGCACCCTATTGAGGGTTTGGCGTGTGATGTCAATTAGCGCGTGAACCTCCAAGTGAGTGAATCGCCACAACGAGGACTAGCTTGCCGGCAAGCAAGTGAACCTCGGTAAAAAATCATTGTGTCATCATTTGATTCCGAGGTGATTGGTCTTCATTGGTATTCATCCTTGTGATTGATTGGTTTACTCCTCGACACAACGGTATAACCATCTTACTCATTCTCTTTACATTATCGTAAACTAGTTATCAAGGTCTTTAGTGTAGCTAGTTGTGAGAGCTTGTTAGTTTGGTTAGTGTGACTCTTTAGTTAGCCGTTGAGAGCATACTAACTTAGTGTAGTGACATAGCCATTGTGTGGTTAGAAACTATAGAAACTAGAATTATGGTAGGTGGCTTGCATTTTTAGTAGGCTAGCGCAACATTTGCTTCGCCTCATAATTGTCTAACCGGTTTGTTAAGTGTTGTTGTAGAAATTTTTAATAGGCTATTCACCCCCCTCTAGCCATTAGGACCTTACAAGTGGTATCAGAGCCGAGGTCACCGTGATTTGAGGCTTAACAACCTTCGGTATAAAAATGGCTCAAATCAACAACACCAAGAAGCCACCCCAATTTGATGGCTCAAATTATCCCTATTGGAAAGCTAAGATGACAACTTATATCAAGTCAATCAATAGAAAGGTTTGGAAGGTGGTAGAGACAAAGATTGAGATTGAAGATGAAGAGGCTCCCACCGCCGCCGAAGAAATGCTACTCCAAAATAATGACATTGCTCTTAGTGCCATCCATGATGCTTTGGATGATAGAACTTTTGAGCAAATCAAGAATATTGAGAGAGCTCATGAGGCATGGAAGAAATTGGAGGAATAATTTGAGGGCACTCAAGCCGTGAAGGGTGCAAAGGCATACATTCTCAAAGAGAAGTTTGCAAGCTTTAAGATGAAGGAGGATGAGAGTGTGCCGAAGATATTTCATAGGCTTCAAGTACTTGTCAATGATCTCAAAGCACTTGAAGAAGAGGTGAAGGACAAGGACTTCTCCCATAAGTTCTTGAGATGCTTACCTTCAAGATTTGGCACATTGGTCACTATTGTAGTGAGAAGTGGTTTGGACACCATGACACCAAACCAAGTGTTGGGAGATATAATGACCGATGATACATATAGAGATTATGATGAGAAGGAAGAAAAGAATGAGAAGAAAGATTTGAAGAAGAAGAGTGTGGCATTCAAGGCCACATCATCCAAGGGCAAGGCAAAGCAAGAAACATCAAGTGAAGATGATGGTTCATGGGATGATGATGATGATGAGAAGATGGCTCTCTTTGTCAAGATATTTGGCAAGTTCATGGTGAAGAAGGGCTACCGTGCTAGAAGAAAGAAATCTTCATCCAAGAACAAGGAAGAGTCAAGAATGTGCTTCAATTGTGGAAGCAAAAATCATCTTATTGCTCAATATCCATACAATAGTGACAAAGATGATAACAAGAACAACAAGAAGAAGGAGAAGAAGGAAAAGAAAGAGAAGAAGGACAAGATGACATTCAAGAAGAAGGGTGGTTCATATGTGGTCACTTGGGATAGTGATGCTTCCTCAAGTGATGATGATGATAGTGATGATGACAAGACCACCAAGAAGAAGGCACTTGCAAGCATTGTTATCAATGAGAAGCCTTCTCTCTTCGACACTCCATCATGCTTCATGGCTAAGGTAGGCTACTAAGGTACAAATTTGTGATGATGGAAGTGATGATGAACATGATAATGAAAATGATAGTGATAATGATGATGATGAACCTACTAAAGATGAATTATTTGACATGCTAGAAGATGTTAAAAAATACTTTGACATTAAGAGAAGGGAATGCAAGAGCTTGAATAAGGAGGTAAAAGCCCTTAAGCAAGCCCTTGATGAGCTCAAAGCAACTCATGAGATGCTAGAGGAAGCCCATGAGAAGCTTGGCAAGGCTCACAAGAAGCTTGAAAAAGCTCATTCCTCTTTGCTTAATGAGCAAAATAAAAAGAAGCATGTTGAGACTTGTGATGTAGGCTTAACTTGTGATATAATTGATGATTCAATATCTATGCCTATCATTGTTGCTCCCGCTAACCCTTCTTGTAGTACTTCTACTTTTACCTCATCTAGTAGTGATGGTTTCACTTGTGATGCCTCACTAATGATTGAGAATGAGAACCTCAAGAAGAAGGTCAATAAGCTCACTCACACCTTGGCTAAGGCCTATGGTGGTGAGGACCGTTTGCTTATGTGCTTGGGTAGCCAAAGAGCTTCTCTCTACAAAGAGAGATTGGGCTATACCCCCAAGAAAGACAAGGCGACCTTTCCTCACAAGACTAGTTTTATGAAGAACAATGGTCGGTTTTGCACTAGTTGTAAGCAAGTTGGTCATGTAGAGTAAAAGTGCATGAATAAGAAGTCACAAGCTAATGTATCCTTAATTAAGCTTTGATGCTTTCTATGTGCTTACCAAGGGTGCAAATGGTGTAAAGGCTAAGTTCATTAGTAAACTATGAATGGGCTCAAAGAAGAAAGCCATTTGGGTGCCAAAGAGCTTGGTCACTAACCTTCAAGGACCCAAGCAAGTTTGGGTACCTAAAAAGAATCGATCTTCTTTTATAGGTCAATTACAAAGTTAGAGGAAGGCATTGGGTTCTTGATAGTGGGTGCATTCAACACATAACCGGTGATAAAAGAATGTTCAACTCAATCAACACCAATGGCAATGATGGTTATGATAGTATCACATTTGGTGACAAAGGCAAGGTCAAAGGGCTTAGTAAGATTGCAATACCCAATGACATAAGCATTTTCAATGTGTTGCTAGTAGAGAGCTTGAACTTCAATTTGATATCAGTGGCTCAATTATGTGATCTTGGATTCAAATGCATATTTGGGGTAGATGATGTAGAGATCATAAGTGTAGATGGCTCTAACTTGATCTTTAAAGGCTTTAGATATGAGAATCTATACTTGGTTGATTTCAATGCTAGTGAAGCTAAATTATCTACATGCTTGTTCACTAAGTCTAACATGGGTTGGTTATGGCATAGAAGGCTTGGTCATATTGGAATGAAACAATTGAATAGATTGGTTAAGCATGACTTGGTTAAAGGCTTGAAAGATGTTGTGTTTGAAAATGATGAGCTTTGTAGCTCTTGTCAAGCCGACAAACAAGTTGGAAACACTCATCCTAAGAAAAGCATGATGAGCACTAGTAAAGCATTTGAGTTATTGCACATGAATTTGTTTGGGCCAACTCAATACACTAGCATTGGTGGAAACACATATGGCTTTGTGATAGTGGATGATTATACTAGATACACATGGGTATTCTTTCTAGTGGACAAAAGTGATGTGTTTGCAACATTCAAATCATTTGTCAAGGGCATTCACAAT